CCTTATACTTTTACCTTATGCTTCCGAGGATATGTTTCTCTTTTATGAATACGGCTCATTTTTGTAACGTCGCAGTTATATTGAAAAGATTTTATGCAACTTCTGTAAAAGTAAACACAAATGCCTGGGTGGAAAATTATATTGTATAACGAACGGGAGATGCTATTTTCTGCTAACAAGTTCTGTGGGCGTTCATAACAAATGTATCTCTTATATTACTAATTTTTTTATTTCTGTTCCATTTCTCCATAATAGGATCAAATATATCTACATCCATAATAACGCAAAAGTATACCAACATAACAAAGTTCGTCGGAAATCCATAAAGTTTATTTCTAACTTTAACCCCTAATAAATGACCCTTACAGCTGACGATAAGAATCTTTTGCCAGAAAACTACCAAATCCAGTTTTATGTGAGTTTGTCATATCGTTGTATTCATACACACTAAAATAAATTGTAAGATTGCAGCCATGTACTTTTATAGCGGCAAAGTAAATTCTCGAAGATTTGGCAATGAATATAAAGAATCTGGAAGAAGTTTAAGCAAGTGGTGTTGTGTGTGATTCTAAGGCGAACGCTTCGGCTACTAGAGTTACGCCACCGGACGGGATCCTTGGGAAGCATCGAACGTAATCTAACAAACTTCAAGCAAGGTTCATGCTCGCTCTGAAAGGCTTCTAGATTTCATCGATTGAAGTTAAATACCCTACCAGATGGCGGAACCAGTCAGCCACAGTCGAGCAGTGGACATTGACGATGAGTCACTATAGAACGTAATAGTACAGTTGACATGGTTATAAATTTGTCATAAATTAGTTGCAATTGTTGATATAAATTACTGTAAGACTTTAGTAATTGAAAACTGTGTTTTCGTTACAATATGAAGGTAATCACACACCCTGTATGTAGTAAGGGTTACAGTATATACGTTAGTATCTACTTGCACGTGTGCGTCAAGAGCTTACTTATGAGACGGAGAGAGGCTAGAATGGTCATTCAGATCCGGTTCTTGATGCTTGGTTCAAATTTTGTTCTAATAACTTACATTTTCCTTTTGAGAAGGGTCTTTCTAAATTGATAAGCCTCCCTCTCCAACCCAGAGTCTTTCCCTAAGCGAAATGTGTCGTTAGATGTCTTAATTGAGCAGATATCTGGTTGCTGGTACGTATATCCTTATTTATTCCTCCCTTTAGATTTAGCTATGGATAGTAAGTATTTAGTCAAATAGGTGTAGGTCTTTAGAATTCAATTCTTTAATTTCTTTCAGAAGTATGTATAATCCAGTAAATTCAATGCCGGAAGTCCACGTACGCTACGCATCCCTGAAACTCCTGCTTATCGTGATAATAAATGTTTGATAAATAATGCTTTGTTTTCGACTATCATTTTTTTCTTGAAATATCGATTTTTAGTAAAATTCCTAATGATTCTTTAGTCAGGTTTTTGAAACCTACTCAAAATGTGCATGTCAACATAGATGTGATGCTGTAAATTTTTATTGAATGCAATAAGAAAAACACGCCAATAAAAATAAATTCGCTATTTGGAAAACTTAACTGACTTAAATCCAGTGATCTAAATGACCATAATTATTATTTGTGGTTTTATGAAATTCCTGCATGACTGATTTTAGTTAAATTTCTGGTGTTACGACTCTGCTAGAGGATCATTACTTTTTGTAAGAATAAATATTTTCTAAAAAAGATTTAAAATTATCAGGCCTACGTTTCTATAAACATTTCTTTTCAAAATCACCAAACGAAAAACCTCTTGAGGCCTAGCTATGCACTTTAACAGTATCTTGTATATTCCAATACGGTAAAGATAGAACTCACATTAAGCCCAAAAATTACAAAAACAGTAAATAGTGACATTCATCGGTCACAGTCACAACCATATTTATTATAAAAATGTCAAACAAAAACAAAAATTAAAATTAAATACAAGTAGAGATCTTTTCAAGAAATTTTACCTTTATCATCAATATACTTAGTCCAACAGCGACAAAAAAAAAACCGAGACAAAGTTTCTTCACTTCAACTCAAATCCCGGGAGTTTCTGGATCAGAATCTTCCATGACTCTTTCCAACTACAGACATCATAAAATTATATAAGCCACATTTCAAATTCAAAAACATCCACAATCACAGTGATTTTATGTACCTACTTTGTCTAGAAAGTAAATAGATCGAAACAAAAAAGATAGAGAAAGCTTGGAAAAATATCAAAAATCACTACACCTACCGAATCGGTCGTTTTAATGGGCCATCAAAAAAGAAAGTTTATGGACCAGTTCATCTCAAAATGCACCCCATAATACAAACACACCGGGCCAGAGGTATTTGAAATACACGGAAATAATAAAGTCTGCAAGTGTGTGTCGGTAAAGTTTTGCTGTGCCGTAATTTAGATCCATTGTCACTCTAAATTATGTTTCAAACTTTTGCTGGTTGCATAAAATACTTGTACGGGAAACAGATTGCATTTCGGAATAGGAAACCGCATAAAATAAAGAGGAGCATGTGGTATAGAGCAAGTCGAATGATAAATGTACCTCTTCCTTTATACCTAGGACTTTTCTGTATAATCTTGAAAAATAATTGGATGGCTCAGCTATTCTCATTTTTCTGGTGGATTATGAGGGATATTTAGATGTTTTGGAGTTAGTATATTATGCATTTCCAACCCAGATAATTCTGCGAACAAACACTCATAGATTTCCACCGTACGTTTACCCTTAAGACTTGGAATAAAGTATTTTCAATACCCGCGACGAAAGCATATATACGAGGGAAACTAGAAAATAAATCTATCCAGCCATGAAAAAAAAAGATGTACTATTTTTTGTTAATTTTATTTTTCAATATAGTAATCAATATTATACACTTATAAAGAAAATCCTCTTGACGCTCAAAAGTATCGTCGACGGCTGCGTTTTAGACCATTATCTGAGTTAAAAGAGTTAAAAGGTTTTTCTTTAGTAATCTCAAAAGATAAAAGTCAGACGGCGCCAAGTCCGGACTATCGGACTCAACGAAGCCGCTCAATTTGTCTCATTTTGGCCACCTCATTCAAGGTCGCATTGTCATGTACGAGCCCCTTCCCACTTCAGTTGGCCCACTTCAAGATTTGTACCAAAATATGCCTTTATAAACTAAACATGACGAAACTATTTACTTCTAAAACAATTTATTTTCTCAAAAATATTTTAGATACACTCTAGTCGTAAAAATACATATTTGAAATCACTTAGACCTATAACTAATAGAACATCTGAACAAATAAACAATGTGCGAATAAATGCGCGAAGTTAACAAAGCAACAATTGAAAGATTACCATTATTTGGGGCATAGTGTTAACCAAGTTTTGGCAAAAATTTGGTATAAAACAATCCCATATTTCTTGAAGCTTTTGTCTCAGTTCGGTGATTGTACGAGGAGGATGTTGTCGTAGAACCTTTTTCATCTCGTGCCACAAAGTTTCAGTAGTTGACAGATCTGGACTTCTAGAAACACATTTCAAAAGTGGTACATTATTTTCTTCCATCCATTTTATAGCCTTTTTTGCTTGCTGAAACACAAAATCTTGGCCGGATGTCAAACATTCTTCCATCACTGGTAAAAGCGATTCTTCTAAAATTGCCAAATATTTGTTCGTGTCCACATTTCCATCAATAAAATGAAGTTACTTTTGATGACATACTGCCCCAGACCATAATGGTTGCTGGAAATTTCACTTTTCTCTTCAGACAGTCAACATGGAATTCATTAATTTTTTTTGCAAATAACTCTACTGCGACTGTCACCAACACAAACTTCGAATAGGGCCTCATCACTCCATTGTATTGCACACAATTGTTTAGGGTTTTTACTTCACTTTTTTTTATGAGAAAACTTACCTTGCAAGTGCTAAATCCCAGTTTGTGGGCCTCTCTATAAGTTGTGGACCTCGAAATTCTCCTTCCAACAGCGTCACTCCACAGAGCACTTAATTGTAAATAATTGGCACGCCTGCTTTTCACGATTATTCTTCTTAATGCTCTTCGGTAGGCATTTGTGATATTACTTTTTTTCACATATCGTGACTTAATATCAACTAAACCAGTTACGTTATATCTTCTAACAATATTTCTCACACTGTACCGCGATAAGTCTAACAAAGTTGAAATTTCTGAGTTTGATTTCCCAGAATTAAAAAATTGATTCGCGGGCACCTACAGCATCAATGCCTCTAAAATCAGTGGAATGGTGGTGATTGTGATGGAAAGCTAGAACGGGGGGTGTGACTGAGGCTGTATCAGTGTTTCTGGGAGCGAAGGGGGGGGGGGGGGGGGGGGGTGCATCAGTGCTCTATCTCCTAAGAGAAATACTTTCATGGTACGTGGCGTGGCTCTTAAATGCTCACGACCCGTACAGTTTGCTACTGATGTCGATCCGCCAGTGTAAACCCGCCGTGAGTTTGCCGCTGGTTGGCGAGGTTTAGTCATCCTACTTGTGATTGTGGGCACTACAGCGGAATAGTTGTCGCGATTATATTACAAACAGTTAACAAGATAGGCAAATGTGCACTGTAACTCATTATACATTCCTTTTGATACCATTCTCGTCATTATTACATTGTTTGTGCTTATGAGCAACCCCAGCATATTATTTATGAATTCGTAAAACTGCGTCACATTCAGTGGCGTACCGAACCTTTAACCTCATATTTGTGCCATAAGTCAAGCTAGAAATACAGATATATTATATTTTGAAACAATGAAACCGTCTCTTTTGTGACACTTTAAAGACATATACGAGGGAGCTTCAAAGCTTTTACTCTTCTATGTAGCTTTGCGTATTAAAAAAATGGTGCTTGTCCCTAACTAGAATATTTTCCTGCATAGGCAAATGTGACACGTTAACGTTACTCACAAGCATACTTGGAGCTGGAATCCCTAGAGGCACTTGAACAAGCTTATTCGCAAAAATAAAATAATAAAAGCGAACCATCAAGGTTAACGTCCGTTGCTGATGTTCAAAATGTCAGGTATGCTGCCCTTTCTTGAATACAGTCCTGCCATTTGGTCCAATATTTTCCAAGATGAAGACAAGAATAATTCACAGAGTGCTCGAGGTTCAATAGCAACCCTACTAATGAACATATTTTCGGCAGAGCCCTGAACTTAAAATAGAATTCACCAAAAGTGGCTGATAACCTCCGAATGGCGACACTATACAAAGCTCCACGGCGGATAACGTGAATGGCAGTGAGAGATACCCCGTAGACAAAAGGGCTGACGTATCTTCCAGCAATGAATAAAAAAGCAGACATAAGGGATTCGCTTGTTAGAGGATCCACTTACTTTTTTGTGTTCGGATACTGATTAAACTTGTATACAACAGACGGAGAGGAAACCCTTTGACTGTTTACAGTGGTGTGGGTAAACAGGAGGGGCCATTTGGGCTTTCTCCTACTAGGTTGACCTCTCCAAACACAACGATAATGATCAGAGTTCGTCCAGCTTCGTGGATTTCAACTCAAGTTTCCACTAACTTTGATATTGCTTATGTGTAATTTTCAAATTACATACGATGCATGTATCCATGTAAACGTTAGGATAGTCATTATTTAAATGGGTGATAGAGGTGGTTAAAAGAAGCAAAAAGTTTCATATAACATGGGGGTCAAAACGGAATTTTTTTAGAGAGAGACTTTAAAGTAAAATAAAATCTGATAACGCCGCAATGCCAGACGCAAATTACGACTGAACGCAGTGTAAATAAAGATGGAGTTTGTTATTTTTGGCTCTTCGGTATTATTTCATTATTTGATAATGTACTCGTAAAATGCAAACAATTAAAAAAAAACGTACTTACCACTGTCTCATCGCTTCACCTGGTGTGTGAAAGTTTATTGAACGTATTAAAAAAATCCACTTATAAATAGGGAACACAATTTTGATACATACATTGTTTTTCTTTTTAAAACCCACACTGCACTTTTTGTATTTAAAGAAGGTGTTCAAAATGTCGTCCTCCACTTTCCACATAAGCTGCATTACGACGAACCCAGTTTCTTCTTACTCTAGGTCCTCGAAGCTGTCCATTTATTATTTCAGCCGCATTCAATTTTTTTTCGCGAAGTTGTGCTTCAGTTGTTATTGGACCAGCCCCATAAACCAACCCTTTAAGTTTTCCCCAATACCAGAAATCCATCGGATTGAGGTCAGGAGATCTTGCTGGCCATTTTCTGGGATCAGGAGCATTTCGACCGATCCAGTGGTTTGGATAATGTTCATTCAAATACTGTGTGTGACGCCTCTAAAAATGTGTGGTAGTGCCCCGTCATGAAGAAACCACACTTCCTGTATCTCGAAGTCTTTAGTACACTTGCACAAATGTCCTGTCGCGATAAATTTGAGCTGCAAGATTTAAATTCTGACAAGCTTCACCGTAAACTAACATGTCGAGGAACTATTGATTCGAGAACATTGTAAATAAACACGACGACGTACGCGAACAATAACTAACCACTGTTACCGTTTGCGATCGATTGCCGGTTCGATAAGAGTGATGAATGACCGACGCGCTGTTGTCATGTGTGTTTTAAATATTTAATTTAATGAAACTTACATACTTACTGACTGCAAATTTTGGCTTAACGTAGAAAAACGTAATGCCATTTATTTGTTAATTACCCAATTTAAAAACGTTTTAGATTAGATTATAAAAATTAGTAAGATTCTGGTGATTGTGGTCGATATAAAGCACTTAAAGTTATAACGTTTACACCCTGTATAACTGAAATATATAAAAGTTTCTTGAGCGATTCCTAAGGCTGTACTTAGATAATTTTGGTTTGACGACACTCAACACTATGTTTGCAATATGTACAGAGAACAACATGGTCTCGAAATAATGTTTTAGTAACAAACAATATATTTGAAGCTTTCTAAACTTAAAAACTTCTAAAATAACCAGGAATCTCTATAATTCAAGACTAGTCTCTTCTCGTCTGTCGAACCATTAAAATACACGATGGTTAATTCTTGAGCTATATATTATGTAGCAATCTCATTATGGTTGCTCGTGAGTTTTTAATATAGACATGGAGATAACGTTAAACTTCAGAGAGGGCTTTATCGATCTCTACCCCTAGGCTATTTCTTATTAGGTCATTCAGTTTTATCAGCTCTCGTAACTCTAGTGATAAATACATAATTTTGCTATAACTCTGGTGTACCCGAAAAGTTGTGACATTAATGAGCAATTTGGATTCTTGTTAACTACCTGCAAGAAGTTATTATGAACAGTACTTGGAAATTGAGAACTTTATATGTGATTAACGTATTTTTTGGAACTTTGTTCGCTTTTTTAACATTGTCAACAACTCATTTCAATCTTTGCTGCACATTTTAAGAAACACCCTGTATACGAGAATCTAGTTCTCTGTCTCAGTTTATCCTCTTGACATCACTTCTGTACATCATGTATATTTTCCTATCTCTCTAATGAATTGTTGTAGAAAGATTCGCATAATGTAAACTCTACCTAAAAGCTTATTTATTTCTAACATCAACGTTCAATTGAAATAAGACCGCGCGAAGCGCCATCTATCACCAAAATTGGCCACTGCGAAGAGTGCATAGCACCTATTTGTTGGAACTTTTAGCCCAGTCACCATGTGGCCGCTAGATGGCTGACGATTTTGGCTGTATAGTAGATCTGGTAGCCTGAATAAACTCAACATGAAGCTTTGGTCCGCCCGATCAAAAGACAATCAACTATGTACAGCTGTTTTGTGCTAGCAAAGGCCATGCTGATGAGTATCATGTTCATTTCAACGTTCAACTTCTTCGGGTAACGTTCGCCTCAAATTCGATGATTACGGATCAAGTCAACTATGGAAAATCTCCGAGGTCAAATCATTGTTCTTATAAAGGAAGCAATTCGACCATAAAATAAAAAATCTAAAGCGTAAATGCATTCTTCAATAAAAGCTGTGTACGGCGAGACACTATAAAAACTGACGGTGACTGTGCAAGTACAAACACCGTACGTTCAATAAACGAAATTGTTCTATCTATACAGGATGATTCAAGAAACAGTGGCAAAATATAAGGAGCAGAAATTGCATAAAATATATCACATAGAAGTTCATATGAACCATTGACCATAGGTCCAAGAATGTCATATTATCAATAAACAAATTTATGTTACTGATCATGTAAAATAACCTATAGCTATTCTCACGGCTTTTGGTGGTAACGTCACACTGCCAGATTGACTAATGGTGCCATGTGCGTAGCTTGACTCCCCTTGGGGAAATTGCTCACTACGCAAACCGATTCGTAACGCAGCTGCTACTCGCTCTTGCACATAAACAAGCATTGGGTGTTAGAGAACCGTTGTATTTACTGTCTTCCAGAAAATACTCCTAATACAAGCATTAACTATGAATATCAGCATGGATAAACGTAAACACAAATCACTCGCCCATGACAAGCAAGTTGTCATATTGACAGTAACAAAGTTCAAGACTCATACGATGACGGAAAAATTTTCACGGCGGTGAGACAAAACTAAAGACGTAAGTCTTTGAGTCACACAAACGTGGCATAGAGGCCGATTGCATAATGTATTTGTGATTGAAATGAATGTAAGAAAAATATGTCTGTAAATTGAATGTGAAAAACTATGAAGAGACCTATATAGTGAGGTGGAGTTACGTCTTTTACGTTCATCCAATCCATTGTCAACTTCTACCTATTTCAGCGTGCATTCAAAGTAAATTGGATTTATGATTTTTGTAAGAAAATCTAGTTATTTGACCGTGTTTATTTTGTCCCTAAATAAATGATCTGAAATTCCGAAAGAGGGAGATCAAAAATGCGTCAGGGGCTTCAAAAAAGTTTGTTTGAAAAAGTAGCATTTCTGATGAACTTTTGTGCTTGTTCTGGGGAAATGCTGTCCTACCCATCTGGCAACACTGTGCTTTGACAGATCCAGCGCCATATGAACACCAACAAACGGATTGGCATTTAGCTCATTGTAAAGTAATCAACTGTTTTTATTTATTTCTTGTAAATCCTAGTCTGAAATTTTTTGAAAATTGTTACTATTATTTAGAAAAACTGTTGAAAAGCCTCCCTTTGTTTGGTGATGAATTGTTCAACGAGGATGAAGAGTTACATGCTCATTGTTTGGCTGCTATTCTCCAAAATACTGGGGAAAAACTCAATCTTTTGTTCAAAGACCGACCAGCATTATGGATTGAGTCACTAAAGATGGGGTTTCTTGATAGACGAATAACGAATAAAGTCTGCAGATATTGTAGAAACGGTAACGTCTTGAGAAACAAAATTAGTAGCATTAAAAGTGTATTTTATAGGAGCTCTAGCAGATTTAACAGACAAGGATGAATCAGACCTGATTGGATTCCTAGTTAAAATATAGAATACTACAACCCTATTATCTTTTGATAGTAGACTAAAATCTCACACGTATTATCCTAAAGGCTAATTATAGTAGCTACGGGGCAAGATACAGATTTTACGAATAACTTTTGTTCCATAAAGTGAGGAAAAGCCATCCGCGAGAAGTATGAAAACAAAAGTTATTCGTAAGTTTGCAGCGAGCTGATTATATCTTAGGGCCCTACGCAGCAGACTTCACGATTTATTTTAGTATCGAACTATTAGCACAAGTTTTAGGTTAACATTTTTCCCAATCTCAGATACCCTGCGCAAGCGCAATAGCTTAACCACCCCGATCACTGCGCCCTCAGTCAAGCGTCAAGTTTTGGGGCCGATTTTTTATCATTTCGACGGTTCCCCTGAGCTTTAGATGCATATACAGGGTGTTTCAGTTTATTGTTGCATAACTTTAAGATTCGATAGAACCTTTAAAATTAATGCATAAAGTCTATATAAACATGGGTCGAAAAATGTGTGCCTTCCGAAATACAGGGTGTTTAAATTTACTTTCTAAAATAGTTTTTTTTAATATTTCGAACAATATTTGATGTATAATAGTGAAAATTGGTATACAAGGGTTTTTTGGTACGACAAAACGAGCCATGGGCATAGTTTTACTGTAGCCGCTAGAGGGCACTCTCTACTGTACCTGTAGTGTATTAAAATGACCGAAAATTTTTGCTTAGTGCAATTTTTTGCTT